ATGAGTACTGTAAAAATTGAATATCTCTCTCTAAAGTGCGCCAGTGGCCGCTAATATTTTAACCTTGTTAGTTTGGCAGTGAGAGCTTTCATTTGACGCCAAAATATCAAGCCTAGCTCGGTTACAACACAAATACCTCCATTGTCAGTTTCATAATTTTTTCATTACATCTAGGTGTGTGACAACTCAACTCAGCTCGTAATGAACTGAACTGGTCCCCAGCTCCAGTTCCTACCAGCTCACAGCTCGAAAGAACTATTCGACCAGCTCAGCTCATTACGAGCTGAGTTGAGTTGTCACACACCTAGATGTAACGAAAAAATTATGAAACTGAGAAGCAAAATTAAAGACGTCTGAACTAATGCTTCATGTAAACACTATTATACAATATTGTACTCCCATACTCCCGGAGTACAGAGAGTACCGAAAGTAGAGAAGTACGGGAGTACGCTGTTTCTCCCTTGATCTGCTTTCAATAAGAATACAACTGATAAAAATATCGAATGGGAAATCGAACTATTTCCTTCCATATAATGTGTATGAATTCATTCAATTGTCTGCAGCAAGATAAGAACCGTTCGAGATCGAACTGATTCAGCTGCAGTCGAAAGAATAATGACACATTTTGTATTTCAAGATACTTCTACATTGTTAGTTTACAAAAATGCCGTATGTCTTCGCATTAATGAACTGTATAATAGTACTACAAAGGGTGAAGGTGACAAAAAGATGATAAAATATAGAGAAACCAGATTGTATCAGTGGCTAACACATGTCGCGACGAAATGAAGCGAGATTTTAGTTAAGTATCCAATGTTTCCTATATGAAAATATTATAATGAAAGTTTTTATATAATAAATATATTCATGGTAATTTATATAATTGTTTTCGACAGCTATGTGAATTAACATCATCCTTATTCCTTCGTCTCACTCTTTCTTTATTATATACATTCAGAAGTTAGAAGAAAGCGGAAAGTGCAATTAGGGTCATAGCTCGAAGGTTTGCTTTTACTTGAGTAAAGGAGAGATGGAAACAAATAATTCTTCTTGTTTCAAAAACAATTGCTTGGAATAATAAAAACCTAGCGCTAATCTTATTTGTGACTCGATGCCCTACAGTTCTCGATAGAATTCTTCGGAAATAAGTTGCATTTGAAATTTCCATGAAATATAACATTATTTAATTTCAATACCTGTTGTTCTTGCCACTTTTAGAAGACCACTTCGAAATGCTTTCAATAATTTCGGTTTCATTGTATATTTTTTTGCGCCACCTGCTACCGATATAACAAGTGGTGGTCGCTAAATAACAAAATCAACAAAAAAGACTCTCATTTGTTCAAAACAAAAAACCTACTTCACTACACCATTGTCGAAAGAGTAATTCTTTAACATGTTGAACGGAAGCATTCGATGGTATACTAATAAATTTTGCTGGATTGGATGTATCTTCCGCAACTTAAAAAAAAGAAACTTTCATCTCAATTATCGTTGAGATAAATTTATTAATCTTACAAGTAATTGTTCCATGTGATATAACACCAATAGACGTATATAACTATAACAAAACAAAACAACAATAGAAGACTGAGTAAACGTCTTTGCTTCTTTTTTTTTACTTGATTAGTCTCTTGACGATTCTGTGCAGGATGATGTGTCATACTATAAAATCGAAGTGAAAGAAAGGAAGTCAACCAGTTGTGCTTCTTATATAGACTCGCCAATCACAATCGACTTTTACGATTCGTTGTCTATAGGAAAATGAAAACGATTGCCTTTCAACACATCATCATTGATTTTATTTTTTAAAGTAATGAGTTCATCAACAACAAATAAATTTTATGAATTTATGGCTGAGCCACTTAGTGATAAAGGCATTTGTGGTGTTCCTAGTATGGGTGATGTTCTCGGTGCAAAACTATCCGAAGCCGGTTATGAAAAGCTTGTCAGCGCAGCCCCATTTGGGGCTAAAATGTGGAACTCACGTATCCATATAACCTAGGGGCTATGTTACTGTGAATTTTTGCAAATGTTATTACTCTCATTTCATACATATATGTTTGCAGCGAAGCTTTGGATGAAGTTGAACAATTATAAACCACGGCAAGGAGATTGCCAAGGTGTCGGTCACGGTCTGTGATGGGGGTGGGAGAGGGGAGCCGTAAAACCTCGACTTAAAACTTACACTCACTATTTTCTTCGAAAATCTACGTGAGTTCCACAAAAGTTTGTTTTTATTCCCCTTTCTGAAAGAAAGGGTTATACGGCAGTTAAATATTCTTACAGTTTGTCTGTCTGTCCAAGCCAACCAGAATTCAGTATGCGCTAAACCAATAAAAACTCACCAATAGTTCTTACACAGTTTCACCGAAGGTTATCGAGGGTGGGAAATCCGAATCTGAGGTTGGTTTAATATTATTAATTTATCAATTGATTAATAATTAATAATTGATAATATTAATTCTTGACAAAGTTTCACCAAAGGTTATTGAGGACGAGGAATCAGAATCTGAGAATGGTTTAATATTAATAATCAATATTATTAATTTTTGATAAAATTTGACCCAAGGAGAAACTGAGACAGAAAATTCGGATCCCAGGCAAGGTTTTGATATAACTGATTACGTTAATAATTAGTTAATAGCTAATTAATTAATAATTAGTTTCTATTGAATTAATCAAAACCACGAAAACAAATTGGAAAACTCAGATCAGATTGTCTAATATCTAAGCCTGAACAACTTCAGTTCCTGAGCCAATTAATAAAGATAGTACCAACAAACATGCTTCTTTCTATCAACATATCTGTTCATTATCTTAACCATAGCCAATAAAAAAATGACAGCAACACGAAAAAAACCAAGATCCTCATCAACATATACTGAAGGTCAAAGCTTGTGATGCATGGAACAGCTAGCCGTAAATGGCGCCGACGAACGATTAATCGTTTGCCTTTAAGCCCTCCTCCTCAAAAAAAAGTCAATTTTCGTCCAAAAAATGAAAATTGAGATAAATGCATGGGAAGATAGCCGGAGTTCCGCTCTTTCAGAAACAACATGATTTTTTTAAACAGACACCCATTTTGGGACAAAATTTTTGATAATTTCCATCATCTACTTCTTAAAAAGCAGGTTTCTTTTCGAAAAACGAAAAATGTTTTTCTTTTTTTCTCAGTTGATGCTTTCTTGATCGCGCAAACCAGAATTCTCTGTGTATCCTAATTCTATATACTTTTTTTTTGTTTGAAAGAGCATGTCAAAATGCAGTGCAGTGCAGAGTCCATTTTTTAAATAAGCTTTGTTTGTTTTTTATTATATATACAAACACTTGTGTAAATTGACGCCCATTTTTAGAGAGAGTTTTGAGTCATTGAACTTGTCATCGCTTTTCTCCGTAGAAAAAGTAGGAATTTAAAAAAAGGCTCTATACTACACTGCCTCCTGAGATGCTCTTTCAAACAAGAAAAATTTAAATATAAAGAATGAGCATGGGGAGAGAAATTTGGTTTGCCAAATGTGCTATTTTTAACCTTTGTTTGGTGAATGTCTGTCAAATGTCATGGTATCAAACTAAACATTTTACCATAGCCTCTCAACTGCAGCCCCAACATCTCCTTAAAATTTCAGCCAATTTGGATGTACTTGGATTTGCATCGATTTTTGAGGGCACCTTAAATTAGACACTCAAGCAATGGCTCAAGAGGAATTGGGAAAAATAGCTCATAGGATGATATGCATCAAACTAGATGACGATCGTGACTACGACACATGCAGAATCACAGTATCTTGAAAAATGTATAATTTTGACTCTTATACGAAGTTCACTAGAAAGGTTTACTATGTAGTTTTAGAATTCAACTACAGTGTATCTCAATTGGTTTCCCCCTACGTTCTTTTTTTTGTTTTTATTAGTATACTTCTTTATTTATTAACCTACTATATCCCCCGAGCCAAAATAAATGGAGCACCTTATTTTCATGCTTTTTATCTCTGTATAGTTGTTGCTGGTCTCAGTTTTATATCACAGATACATCTTTGATTACTTAATCTTTCCTGAAAATTTTAGCCTTACAGAATGAGAATTTGTTTAGAATTTAAAAGATTGGTTTTCTTCTGGCAAGTGACATTAGAAGCTAGGTACTTGATACTGTTGCTATGGTTTCCCAGGAACTAAAACAGATGGAAATTTGATTTTTTTAGAAATGAATAACCATCTTTAGACCAATAAAACGAAGAAAAATTATCAAAATCGATTGAGTAGAACTCGACTTATAGGCGTTTTTCTTTTCGGAACTGAACGGTACAATGCTGTGCTCTTCATTCATATACCTTGTCCGTCTAGCTTTTCTAATATCCGTGTTTCAGTTAAAGTGCAAACAAAAGATCTGAAATTTCTGCCACAAACTATTCTTATTATGCCTTTTATATCTGCAAAGTTTCAGGTCAAAATTCGAAATTTCATTTTTTTTTTGAATTGTCTATCGGAAATTGCCCTGGTCCTTCTTAGAATCATGAAAAAAAAATCAAAGTTCGAAATTTTGTCATGAAATTTTGTGTATATTAAGGACTCAATGAGAATAGTTTATGGCAGAAATTTCAGATCTTTTTGTTACACTTAAACTGAAATACGGATATTAGAAAAACTAGACAGACTACATATAAGGTAAGTGACATAAAACAATTTGTTTTTTTAAATTTTTTCTTTCATATTAAGAAGCACTGTTCTGATTTAAATGGTGATACAGATAGTACGAGAGACTGGCTACAACATGTACTATAGAAGGAGACTCTGTCTGTAGATATATCGTAATGAATGTATTTTCTTATCTAAAATAAACGAAGAACAGATGAAAACAAGCTGAACTATTGCTAGCATGACGGTTTTCCCTGCTGTGCGGCAATAAAGATCATTTTAGTATGGAAAAGTTTCTCGTCAACGCTGCATACTAAAAACATAAATACAAAAGAGGATTACTTAGTCGTAGTCAGAATCGTTTATTTGGTAAGATAGGACTAAAAGATTTGGTTCGGCAACTTTCTGTGCTCTATATTACGGTATTATCTGGAATTTAGTGATAACCGTTAGCAAATACGTCGAATCTTAATATTATTGTGAAACACGAATTAAAAGGAGTATTGAAGTAGAGGAATAGAGTGTTAGATTGCCTCCCACCATCCCCACCGATCACGACAGACATTGCCATGAAAACGTCACAGACCATGACAGACATGGCCAGTGTCTCGTGCCAGACAGCTTAGCAATGCCCCATCTCCTTATCACAGACCATAACAGAGGTTTGTCACAATTGAAATGTATTGCGTATTTATTTCTGTAAACTACTCACAGAGACATTCGTAGGTTTCTAGCAAACTAACAAAGTCTAGGGAAATATTGATTTAATTTTCGCTGATGACTCGAAGAGAGTATCGAGTATACGGCTGGCACTTTAACTTTACTTTAAAAGTTAAAGTAAAAACACTTTAAACTTTAAGCTTTAATTAAAGTAACAAACTTTCACACTTTAACTTTAAAAAAACTAAAGTTAAAGTACTTGTACCATCGGTAAGAAACGACCATGTTCAGAATTTAGGTCCTCATCCCGCGACCAAAGCGGGAGTATTTGGGTCTCTTCTGCCTATCCTTGAGGGGTATTTAGGTCCTCACTGGGTTACCATAGCGGGAGTACTCGGGTTCTCATTTGGCTATCCTTGAGGGGGTACTTCGGTCTCATTTGGGTACCCTTGAAGGGTACTCGGGTCCTGATTTTGCTATCCTTAAAAGTGTACTTGGGTCCTAATTTGCCTATCCTAGGGGGAGTACTTAGGTCGTCATCTGGCTATTCTTGAAGCAGTACTTGGGTCTCAATGGGGGAAAAGTTGAGTTTTTTGAGTTTTTACGTCAAAAACCTCAGAAAGCTCAAAAAACTCAGTTTTCAATCCAATTCATCAGAACTATCAGTTTTTATTCAAATTAATCAAAAATATGGATTTTTTGTTCAGATAATCATATGTTATTTCCAGCGTAATTATTGTTAATAACCTTAGTAATAGACATGAATGTAGCAAAGACACTGCAATACAATTTAAATGTGGTCCAAAAGTGTCGACCCTTCGCTGTAAATTGGCGCTATCTATACAAATACATGTATAGACAGTTCATCAAAATACACAGTTAGTGGAGAATGATTACGATTATCATTTGAAAAAAAACGGTCCAGATTGTGTCATGGTCTTGAAAAGTTACGATCATTTTATTAATCATCACGAAGTATTTATATGTTACATTATTTTGCGGAAACAAAAAATATTCTTGTAATGTTTGAGCCATTAAAGTCGATCAAAATTTTATTTTCTACATGTTTTTACCAGATACTTTTATATGGTCCATACTTGGAACCGAATCGTCAGGTTTGCCAGTTACCGGTCCGGTTGAACTCTTCAAACAGGTCAGTTTTTACCAGTTTTTTATCGGTTTTTTTACTAATTTTTAATGCCCTAAGGCTGGGCTATTTTGATTATTTTTATCGATTGCTATGACCTAAGCAATCCAGAAATATGAGCTTGAATGTCTTCAACTAACAAATTTCTAGTCATCATCAAAATCACAGCTTTAAATATTGAGCTCATGTTCTCTTGTCGAACGATAAGGACCTCGGACTATGTTGAATGAATTGATTATGGTCACGAAGAGTTAGTCAGGCATCAAAGCCAAATTCAGTCTAAAGTAAATATTTTACACCTGCGAATTTCGAGTTCACTTTCTGAACTACTTTTAAGTGGCCGTCAAAAACTCTCAATGGCTATTAGTTTCCAGTTCCTCCTTTCGCTACAAAAATATCAGAAAAGATTCCGTTCTCTTGGAAAAGTTAGATTAACTGCTAGTATCATGCAACTGTGTAAATATCTAGGTATAAGAATCCTAAAAATATGAAGTCTAGTCTTAAACCGTACTTTGTTGCTCATTTTATCTTTCTATCGATAGGGGTATCCTTTTTTGAATTGAGAAGCCTTTCAGTTGTGTCAAGTATTGATTTCAAATAAAAATAGATTAAATTTATTAATTCTTGTGAAGAAATCATATCTTTATTGAAGAAAGTCAGAAAAAACAAATCATAAATGTTTTGCAACGTTAGTTGTTGTGAATTACTATACGAAAAGTTTCAAAAGAGTTCTTCCTTCATTCATAGTGATAATGTATATAGAATGTGACAGAGTAAAATAGAAGTTGTTACTATGAGTAACTCTAAAAGTTACATGAGTTTCACATCGTATGTCTTCGTGAACCTGTATTAATAAACTTTCCCTGAAAGAGCTAGTTGGTTAATTGATATATTAAACGAACTCGTTTTCCTCGGTTCCATTTTATACTCGGACCCGTCGGTTTTCCACCGGTCCAGTCAAAAAAAGTCTACCAGTTCCAAGTATGTTTCATAGCATTTGTGTTTACGATACTGTGAAACCTTCACTTGCTCATTCCTATTTCAAAGTATTAATCAATGATCTGGAAAAGTTTTACCCAAGCAAACGGCTTGCTGACTGGTCACACACCATAAGTCAACTCTTTCGTCAGATCGTTTGATGCGTGTGGGGACAACAAAATAAACATGTTTTTTTCGTTCTTTTTTCGAAATATAATGTAAAGATTGAATAAGTGTGCTGATGTCACTCGTGTACTGGAACTTTGCTTGACCAATGAAACTTGAACTTGGCTTTGAAAGATATTTTTATACTCGCATAGCTATTTACTGCACACGTTGAAAACACAATTTTAGCTTACGAACTGCTACAGACAAATCTGACTGCTTAGGAAGATATTAACATGTAGTAAGACGATTAATACAATAGCGTAAATGACACATCACTGACGATTTTGCCGAGGTTAACATAATTAAATTAACAAAGAAAAAAGTTTTAAACAGCATATGCACACTAATTCTATTGGGAAAATGCTGTTTTATGAATAAAATTTCTCGAAAAAATAAATAAAAAACATCAGATTTCATTCAAACAAAAATCAAATTTTTCAAAATTATCAAATCAGCCAAAAAACTCAGTTTTCAGCTTTTTTTCCTTGTTGGATCCTCATTTGCCTATCCTAGCGAGAGTACTCGGTCCTCATTTGGCTACGCTAAGGGGAGCGCTTGGGTCTAGGGATGTAACAATACCAATGCTTCCTATAACAATACTACTTGGTATTGGTCAATCTTGGTACTGGTAGGTATGGGTATTGGTATATAGGAGGGGAAAAGGAGGTCTACTGGTACTTCAAGTCAAACATCAATATTTTGAAAAATCAGTTAGTCATTCCGATCCCTCGACTCCGAAAATATTCTATCAAACTTTAAAAGAAAAATGGTACTTCCTTAAAATACCTTTGTTATAGCGAGAAAACGCTTATCAGCGGAGCCTCTTTGGGACTAAAATGTGGAACTCACATATTCACAGAACCATGTCTGTTACGATCTGTGAACTGGGTTGCGAAGGTATCTATCACAGTCTATGATATATCGTTGCTAAGGATGTTTGTAAGGGGGAGGAGCTGAAAAACTTCGACTTGGAACTTCCACTGACATATTTTTCTATGTGAGTCCCACACCCTTAAATTCGAACATTTTGAGAAACCGATAATAAATTCTGGTTTTGTGGAACTCACGTATATTTTCGAAGAAAATAGTGAGTAAGTTTTAAGTTCAAGGTTTTGCGGCTCTCCCCCCCCCCCCCCC